TAGCTGCTGAAGTTCCTTCACATATGCCCACTGGAACTTCACGCAATGCTACGACAGGGCCACGATTTCACGGGGGGCTCAGACAAGGCTTGCTTCAAGTCACAATGCGGCTTGCAGGTGACGGCACGTGGTTCTTCTGACTCCCTAAGGGGCAGTGTTCTTTCTACTGTCACAGTCTGCCTTCCATAATCAGAAAGGTTTAAAGCAGCTTCTAAAAAAAAAAAAACAGCTTCAGGTTTAATTTCTGGATCACTTTTTTTTTTTTTTTTACTCACTGAAATGTCATAACCAGAGATTTAATAACAAGCAAGTATTTAGGAAATGTTAGCTGAAAGGAAAATATCACTAAATACGGTAAGCTCAAAATGGAAAAACCTCAAAACAGTTTGTCCCCATTAGCACTACAAGAAACACACACAGAAAGAAAACACTCCGGGTCTAGCTCCTATGACACAGGTCGCTCCCACCGCCACATCCTGCTTCTCCCTAAACCCCAAAGGCCCAGGCCCCCAGGCTTCATCTTCCTCAGATCCTCTCATGCCCCACAAACACCTGCTCCCCACGGAGAGACAGCACTCACTTGTTACAGTGCACAAGGACGGAGATGCAGGTTTCTCACAAGGATACGAAGGAACGGTGAAAGAAAAGGAAAAATAAGACAATGATGGCTATTTACAGACCAGAATACATTTTCATATATTTGAGACGCTTGTTCTATCGTCCATTCATTCCATGACCACTTTTAAGTACTCAAGTATCTACCACGACCCAGATTCATTATAAACACCGTGAGGGCTTCCTCTCTGAGTATCTCTAATGTCAAATGCTATTTTAACGTTTTTTTGTTTTTTTTTTTTTTTAATTTATTTTTGAGACAGAGAGAGACAGAGCATGAACGGGGGAGGGTCAGAGAGAGAGGGAGACACAGAATCGGAAACAGGCTCCAGGCTCTGAGCCGTCAGCCCAGAGCCCGACGCGGGGCTCGAACTCACAGAGTATGAGATCGTGACCTGAGCCGAAGTCGGCCGCTTAACCGACCGAGCCACCCAGGCGCCCCTCAAATGCTATTTTAAACAGTGAGCACACAACACAGGAAAGATTTTGCCTGCCCATAAGGCAGCCCACAAAACAAACACAAGGTACCATGCATAAGGCAATATAAATGCTGCACAAGTGCACGCACGAAGGGCTGTGGTAGTAAAGGGGACAGAGTAACAACGTTGAAAAGGGCTTTATGAAGTGTTCAGCCTCAAAAGAGGAGTAGGATTCAGTAAGGCAGGAGAAACAGTATGTGCAAAAAACACAGGAAAATAGCACAGCATTGGTGTGGTGCGAAATCAAACTTCATTAGAACAAGAAGTTCACGGGTGGGGAACAAGGCTGGAAAAGGAATTTAGAGGCACAGATTGCAAAGCATTAAATATAACACTAAAGGAATTGTGGGCTTTAGTGCAGGAGATTCAGGGGATCATCCAGCGTACCAGGCGGTCAAGGTACAGTCAAATGCACACTCCAGAACAGTAATCCTGGAAGCTGGGTCCAGAGGATGGGTAGACACAGAGACTGCCAGTAAAATAAGACAAAGTCACTTCCCTAACCGAGACAAGAGTTGGTAGAGGCCTGGGAGCAGCAGAAACAGGGAGAAGGGGAACAGGAAGGAAGTTCAACACCTCTTTTTTGACAAGACTGAAAGAGAGCAAAGAGAAAGAACAACAAAGGTAACTGACATTTCTGCCTGGAACCCAGTGGTCAGGTCAGTAACCATGTTAAGGAGTAAAAGAGAGATAGTGTTTTTTTGTTTCACTTGCCTTTTCCTTGAAGGGGAAGATGAAAGTTTCCGGTTTTGAAAACAGTTGTTTGTTTGTTCTGTTCTAAAGTTACCTGTGAAATGCCAGGTTAAGCTCCAGGAAGGACTGGTCCTCAAAAGGCATGAGAGAGACAGTTGAAGCTCTAAGACGACGTGAGATGCTCTGATGACAGATAAATTTCTAGGAGTAAGTGATTTCACAGCCCAAAGGGCACAGACAGAATCCAAATTCAGCTTTCAAATAAAATCAGCCTGGGAAGGATAGAGGGATATGATGAGCAGAGAACAGACGATGGCAACAAATCTGAACGTACAGTTCTAAGACCAATACCAATAGCGTTCATGCGCTCCCAGATCACAAAAAGATGTCAATTATCATGAACTGATGACCAAAGCTGAATGCTACAGCACCACGAAATACGACATAAGGAGAGCAGACAGCCACGTAGCAAATCACAATGCCAGCACTGACTATGTGAGAAATGTGACACTAAACACCAGACCACAAATTCCAAAGCCTGCACAAAAGGAACGGGCAGTCCAACTGGGAAATCAGCGAGACCCAAGCACAGCTCCATCTGTTAGCATACTATAAAGATTCCTCCCCTCTACACCAAGCTTTTGCTCTAGAAAATTACAAGGGCTGTGGTCATGCTCATGTCCATTATCATCTAGTTATCAGAGGGGGATACGGAAGCTGGGCTGCTGAAGAACCTAGGAGAGGCAGAATTAATTGCGCTGGGCACTAGTTACATAACCAATTCTCTGGGTCTGAAATATTCTTATTGTGCATCTGTGTGTGTCCCCCCATTTTGTTTTTTAAAACAGGGAAACTGGAGACATAAGGCAAGAAAAGGTGAAGCCGTGTGTAATTAGGATGGGGGAGGGCATTAGCAGCAAAAAATAGGAAGTTACTAGATGTTCAACTTCCATTTGCACCAAACCAACGGCTGTAGTAAAAGCAATGCTGGGCATGTTCTAAAACGTCATGCATTTCAAAATAATTGGATGCCTACCTTTTGTTGAAGTGGCAAGACGTAATGTAACAGTAACTTTGGCAAAGCTGATATTGGACCCACTTCTGTCTCCAATGACTACCCATATTACTCAGTAAATGAACCAAATTCAATATGCTCATTAGGAAAACGGGCTTGTTTTCATGGGTCCCTAACCAGAGGTCTTTTTTTTTTTTTAAATCTCCCTTAACTTATTTGAGCACAGCTCCAGGAACCACCAGCTAGGAGCTACCTTTGTTCCAGAAGACTTTACTACCTGTAGTTGCACGGGGGAAAGGACTTCTTTAGGCCTCAATTTCCACACCTGTAACGATGCCTTACAGGCTTGTTTGCAGATTAGATAATTAACGTAAAATACTTTACCACACAGCACAACACAAAAATGTAAAGCCTCTTTCCAGGCCTAGCAAATAGCAACTTTTGGACTGAAAACAGCAGAAGGTTTAAGTGACTAGTAGCCAGTAAGATCTGGCTAAGAACTCAGTACCTGCCCTAATCTCTCCCATCACCCGATACAGCCTGCTTAGATCTCAACAAAACAAGTTGGAGGCCTTCCCACCTCACCCCAATTTTCTTAATATCCAGAAAAGGGAAGGGAGACCGCAAACGAAAGAGTGGCAGAAGGACACAATCAAGTGACTCGCCCAAGGTCAAAACACTAGGGCAGAAAAGGCAATGCTGGCTTGCCAGCCACCGAGGCCACGTCCCCCAAGACTCGGTCCTCAACAACCGACGAGGCGCGACCAGCTGTCCCCTCCCCGGGCCACAGAACACAGTGTGGGGGCGCCCCTCGCCCTACTGCGTGCACGCCCCGCCGAGCCCCGGCAGAGCGGCGGCCGGCGGCGGGCACTAACAACTCCACCGCTGAGCTCGGCCCGGGCCCCGGAGGCCCCCGCGGCCCTGCTCCCCGCTCCGCGAGGCCGGACCCCAAAGCAGGACCCCCAGAGGTTCAGTGTCCCCACGGCCGGGCCCCGCCCGCGCTCCCTGCCACGTCCGCTGCCTCACGCACTATGGCGCTCCGGACCCGGGCTCCCGCCGCCGCCACCACCGCCGCCGCCGCCGCCGCCGCCGCCGCAGGGCCCGGGCCACCCGGCCTCCCAGTCCCAGCGTCCCCAGGGCAGCGCCAGCCCGAGCAGGCCGCCGACTTCCTCCGCCAGCTCCGCCCTAGCCGCAGCCCCGGGAAGAGCCCGTCGCCAGGGCTGACGGACGGCCTGCACGGCCAATCGGAACGGCAGGAGGAGGGGGAGCGCTGACGGACTGCTCCAGCGACCAATCGGAACGCGCTCCAGCAGGGGGCGCGGCTACCGCTGGCAGGCTCCGCCCCGTCCGTGCTTCCGCTGGGGCCGGGGAGGCGAGCGGAAAGTTTCCCAGAGTTCCTCCGAGCTCCCGGGGACCAAAGGAGGGGTCGCGGCGGGGCGAGGGGCTGGCTGAGGTTGGGTGCGGGAGGGGTCGGGGGTGGGGACGCGCGGGGGCCCACCCCCTCGCTGAGGGCCCGCGGCGGCCCCCAGCTGGCTCCCTCGGCCGCGGGGCCGGCCTCCTCCTCCGGGTGGCGCTCGGGCCGGGGGGACCCCGCAGCGGCGCGCTGTGAGCGCGGGCCCGGGGCGGGGTCGTCGGAGGCTCCCGCCCACCTGAGGTGCCGCCCCCAAAAGAAGCCCGCGCGGGCTGCAGCCTGGGAACGAGCCGCGCGCCCGTGAGCTCGTCCGCAGCGGCCCGCCCGGCGAGTCGCCCGCTGGAGGACTGGCCCCACGCGGAGCAGCGGGGCCGGGTGGGT